GACGATTGTTGCCTGATTCAATTATTACCTTGGTGGTTGCAAAATGCTAATTCTCTAAATCTTTCACTCATTCTACTTTAACTGGCATTAGTCTATAAGGAGCCCAATACACCCTTTGGAGTATCACTGCGACTGATTTTTAAAAATATCTATTTTATTAATTTTTTACAGAGAGAAAGAGAAAGGGATAGTGTTAGAAACGTCGATGAGAGAGAATCATCGATCAGCTGCCTCCTGCACATTCCCCACTGGGGATGTGCCCACAACCAAGGTACATGCCCTTGATGGGAATCAAACTTGGGACCTTTCAGTCTGCAGACCGACGCTCCACTGAGCCAAACCGGTTTCGGCTGGGACTGATTTTTACTATGTGCTGTGAACTTTAAATTCAATGTATCCTTTATCATAATATCATTACTCTTTTTTTGGTGCTCAAAAATGTCCCAGATTTACCCAGTGAGAACCCATTTGAGTTGCTTTTGTTTCAACATGTCTCCATCAATTTTTGAACACTTCCTTGCTTTCTGGTACAAAATAAATCAGGTTCACATTGAATTTAGTCTGCCCAAAATCTGGACTATTTCTCCAAGGATCTTTGTTTCTTTTAGTGGGAAATGATATTTGGCAACCAAGATCTGGGGGCAAGGGGTACTCATTGTTATTAGGATGTCATTGCCCCCACACCCTCTCAGAAGGCAGAGCTAGGAATTTTTTTTTGAACAGGTATTCACACTGATACCTCTAATTTAAATCCCAAGATGACAAGGTTCTTCCCCACATTTTTCATACCATATTTTTATCTCCCTTCTCCCAGAGAACTGTGGTTCCCAACACTAATCAGTATATTTCTCAATGGCACTATCCCAAAATATAACCAAAGTAATTTCAAAATTACTACTGCTGATCTATCAACAACAAACCTACTTTGTAGTTCTTTTTTTCTTTTGAACATATTCCACTAAAGGTATACAGAGCTCTGTATTCATGTGACTTGAATTATATTTGAACTAAATTTTAGGGGTTCCCCCCCCCCATTATTATTGCTTTAATTGTATTTTTTGAGTATTTAGAATATTTGCATGGTTCAAAGTCAAAATTATATAAAAAGGCATACTCAGCCTGGCCGGATGGCTCAGTTACTTAGAGAATTGTTCATTAGCAAAAGGTTGTAGGTTCAATTCCCGGTCAGGGCGCATATCTAGGTTGGGGTCTGATCCCCCGTTGGGACAATTCAGGGGGTGGTCGATGTTTCTCTCACATCAATATGCATTGATATGTCTCTCTCTTCTTCTCTCTTTAAAAAATCAATATAAAGATTTTTTTTTTAAATGCATTCTCAGGTAAGTTTGTCTCTCACCCATATCAATTATACCTTTGCCCCACCTGCCTGAGTAAGTTATTTACAATTAGTTTCTAGTCTATCCTTCCTGTGTCTTTTTTTGTAGGAACAAATATATGCATATTCTTATTTCCCTTTTTCTTTCTTTTTAATATATTTAAGTTGATTTCAGAGAGGAAGGCAGAGGGAGAGAGAGAGAGAAATACCTATGATGAGAATCATTTATCGGCTGCGTCCTGCACACCCCCTACTGGGGATCGAGCCCACAACCAGGGCATGTGCCCTTGACTAGAACTGGACCCAGGACCCTTCAGTCCATAGGCCAATGCTCTATCCACTGAGCCAAACCAGGTAGGGCTCCCCTTCTTTCCTATTTCACATGCTTTTTCTTTCTTTTCTTTCTTTCTTTTTTTTTTTTTAACAGTCAGATCCTGCTGGCCCAGTCCTGCCCTGGAGCATGAGTATGGAAACCTCAGATGGGTTGAAGATTATAACTACTACATGATCAGGAGGATAAGGGCAAGGAGATAGAGGCTAGTCTGGGGACTGGTTTCTTATTCTACCTGCGAATTCCTCTTCCTCTATCACATGTGTCAAACACAAGGCCCGCGGGCCAAATCCGTCCTGCCAGGCCTTGCAATGTGGCCCGCACCGCGCTGTCATCACTGCACTCCGCTGCGTTTCCATCACAATGACAGTTTATGACTGTTCAGTAAACCATTCGGCCCGCGATTTAGGCTGAATTTTAGATTTTGGCCCCTTCTCTGATTGAGTTCGACACCCCTACCCTAAGATGAACCATACAATACCTATTCTTTCTTACCACATGTTATTAATCTGTCCTCCCCCTCCTCAATATATCTTAGAAATCACTCCCTACCGGTTCATAGGAATCTTGCTCTTTTATTTTTGCAGCTGCACAGTCCTCTGTTGTGTGGATGTACTTCACTAATCCTGATGGCTATTGGGTTATTTCCATATTTTATATCATAGATGAAACTGCCATGAATAACTCTGTGCACCTGCGATTTATATTTATAAATAAAGCTACATCCTAGAAGTGGGCCTGTTAGGTCAAAGGAAAAATGCATATACAGATACTAAATTCCCCTCAGTGAAGATTGTACCATTTTGTACTCTCACCAGCAATATGAGAGTGTGCCTATTTCCCAAGAGCCTCACAACTGAATGTATTCATGCTTTGCCAAAGTAAACGAGAAATGCTGTCTCGGTGATTTTAGTCTGTGTTTCTCTTATCATGTGTAACTGAGCATCTTTGTTACCAAGCAAGGGTTCACTGCCTGATGCACATACCGTTTCCCCGAAAATAAGACAGTGTCTTATATTAATTTTTTCTCCCAAAGTTGCGCTAGGTCTTATTTTCAGGGGATGTCTTATCTTTCCATGCGCTAGGTCTTATTTTCAGAGGATGTCTTATTTTCGGGGAAACATGGTAGAAGCCAATAAATACTATGGCACCAGCTTTTAAGAAAAGAAAAGGCTTTATTTATTTGTGAGTTGACTGGTAAAGAAACAGGAGGCAAGGTTCAAATCGATCTTCTTCAATCCAAGATTCAGGATGGGATTTTAAGCATCAGATCTTCCTGGACAATGGACCCTTCTCTGAAGGGATTCAAGTTCTGGCCAGATTCTAGTCCTTTGGTTCTGTGGGGAGGAGCAGGTAAGGGTTCACAAGTGCTGCTCATAAGTGGTGTATCCAAGGCTTAAACTTTGGTTCTGGGTCTTGTTGGAGACAGGATAGAACCTGTGAGAGCTGGTTCTGAAGTTACATTTTTGTTTTGTTGTTGTTTTGTATGTCTAAGAGCTATTTGTGTATCTTTTTCTGTGGAATGTCTTCATATCTTTTTCCATTCTCCTATCAGATTTAGGTCTCTTTTCCCTTTGACCTTTAAGAGTTTTTGTATCAGTCTTTCATCTGTGACTCATGTTTTAAAAAATCTTACCTAAGAACACACTGGTCAAGCTTGCTATGCCCTCCTGAATCTTCTAGACGAAGCTCTGAGGTGCCTTCACTGATATACGCAGGAAGACCAGGAATCAGACTGTACACAAAACCCATAAAGGTTAACAGTGCTCTGAAGCAGAACCAGGAACCTAGCCACCCTCTGCTTAGATCTCTCCACAGTTCACAGCTGTCTAGCCATCCCTCATCTGCATTTCAATAGAAAAATGTTCTCACTGGCTGCAGTTTTTAAAGGGCACTTCAATAGGCTTTCAGAGGAAATTCTCATTTTTCTAATCGATGTGGATTTTTACCTATTTTTATTGAGGCTCAAGCAATCTATTAATAAAGATTAAATTACTATTTAACTTTTTAAAATATAATTTATCAGTTCACTGGCAGGTACCTTAATCTAACAACAACAACAACAAAAAGCCCTTGGAATATCTCTGGATTACTAGAGACAGTAAAATGTTCTGTTTAGTGTCCAATGATTTACATACAGCAATGAAGGTCTTTAAAATCCTGAACAATTCCTCTTGTCAAAGCAGATAAACACCTAGCCAACAGTCTTAGCCAACAGGTACCACTTCATTCATAACCTGAGTTTTAGGCTTTAAATTGATTAAACTTGCTTAAAGAAACACAGAATCAATTATGTTAAATGAGAAACAATCACAAAACCCTCTAACACTGAAAACCTCCCAATGCCATGGAGCCCTAGCTCAAAACAGAGATAAAAACCAGCAAGCTCACTTTTGACTACAGCAAGTCTACTTATGTGTGAACACAGAAGGCTCTAACACTATAATAAAAGTTTATAAAAGTATCCAACGAAAGTAAAAGTACAATACAATAGATCATTTAACAAGCTTAAATCCTTCTGAACACATGGGTCTTTAGAAAAATAACTAAGATTTCAATAAAATAGCTAAAAGTTTTAGAAATAGCCGAAACCGGTTTGGCTCAGTGGATAGAGTGTCAGCTTGCAGACTGAAAGGTCCCAGGTTCGATTCCAGTCAAGGACATGTATCTTGGTAGCAGGCACATACCCAGTAGGGAGTGCACAGGAGGCAGCTGATTGATGTTTCTCTCTCATCGATGTTTCCCTCTATTCCTCTCCCTTCCTCTCTGTAAAAAAATCAATAAAATATATTTTTAAAATAAATATTAGCTCTGGTTTTAAAAATAAAAAACACAAGAATACAGTTGTAACTCTAGTTACAACTAGTTAAAACAAGCATGTAATATTTGGACAGCAAAATAAAATTGTACCTACTGAAAAAATGTATTTTCTTTACTAACCATGATAAGGAATCCCTTTATCCTAATCCACTAGTCTCAGGAACTTTTTAAATTATAGGGTAAGTGTAACTTTAAGTAATTCCTCCACGAATTACTTAAAGTTACTTATTAGATATTGACGACAATGACCAACTGGAAGCCAACCTTCAAGAATTACAGGCACTTGCCTAACCGGTTTGACGAGATCTTCAATTTTAAAAAATTGGTCAAAAAGCAGGTCCAAAGTAACAGATATTGAAATTATACAATTTTTGTACAATGAAGCATTTATTATACATATTTTCATTTATTATATACTAAATACTTAAGTAACTATCTTTCTAGATGGAATTATAGTGATACTTATTTTTCTGATATTGCTTATGGTATTTAATTTCATCTTTTAATTTATTTTTAAATATGAAACACTTTACAAATTTGAATGTCATCCTTGCACAGGGGCCATGCTAATCTTCTATTTCCTTCCAATTTTAGTACATGTGCTCCTGATGTGAACATTACTTTGATCTTTTTAAGCAATGAACATCTATTGAAAAGACTTAATTTTCTAACCAATTATCCCAATTGTGTATCTTTATACACAGTCGTGTGTGTGTATTAACAAAAAAGTTCAGAAGTACCACACTGGTATGACTCAGTGGTTGAGAGTTGATCCATGCACCAAGAGGTCACTGGTTCAATTCCTGGTCAGGGCATATACCTAGGTTGTGGGCTCAATCCCCAGCAAGGGGTGTGCTGGAGGCAGCCGATCCATGTTGATTTTTCTCATCAATGTTTCTTTCTCTCCCTCTCTAAAATCAATAAAAATATATTAAAAAAAAAAAAAAAAAAAGCCGAAACCGGTTTGGCTCAGTGGCTAGAGCATCAGCCTGGGAACTGAAAGGTCCTAGGTTCGATTCCGGTCAAGGGCATGTACCTTGATTGCAGGCACATCCCCAGTAGGGGGTATGCAGGAGGCAGCTGGTCAATGTTTCTCTCTCATCAATGTTTCTAACTCTCTATCCCTCTCTCTTCTTCTCTGTAAAAAATCAGTAAAATATATATTTTTTTAAATCCAGAAGGAAATGCACTAAAATACTAATGGTATTTTTCTCAGGATAATGCGATTGTTAGTCATTTTTTGTTTTATATTTTACTAGTAGCCCCAAGCACGGATTCGTGCACACTGAAAGGAAAATAATTAGAATATTTTAATATTGCTATTTGACCTTTCTCCCTCAGTGCCTGGTCACTATCTGCAGGGCAATTGGGCCTGGCTCACACCTGCCTTTGTCCTGGCTCACCTGCTGTGGTCACACTGTTACAATCCATCAGGACCAGCATTGCTTCTACTGCCACCTGCTGCCAGCACCACCGAAGCCCACCATGTTCCACACTGCCCCCTGGTGGTCAGCACACATTATAGCAAGGGGTCAAACTCCTCGGGAGAGGACAATTTGCATATTAGGCTTTTAGTATATAGGACATCACTCTGTATTTTCCAGGATTTTTTAATAATAAGCATGCACCCTGGCTGAGTAGCTCAGTTGGTTGGAGCATACACCATGGTTGCAGGTTCGATGTCCAGTCAGGACACACACAAGAGCCAAACAATGAATGCATAAATAAGCGGGAAAACAAATGTTTCTCTCTCTTAAAAAAAAATCAATCGGCCGGGACCAGTTTGGCTCAATGGATAGAGCGTCGGCTTGGGGACTGAAGGGTCCCAGGTTCAATTCCGGTCAAGGGCATGTACCTTGGCTGCGGGCATATCCCCAGTAGGGGGTGGGCAAGAGGCAGCTGATCAATGACTCTCATCGATGTTTCTAACTCTCTATTTCTCTCCCTTCCTCTCTGTATGAAAATCAATAAAATATATATTTTAAATCAATCAAAAAAATTAAAATAATAAACACATGTTATTTTTATAATATGAAGATGACATTTTTTTAAATGTATTTTTTATTAATTTTGTACAGAGAGGAAGGGAGAGAGATAGAGAGTTAGAAACATCAATGAGAGAGTTATCGATCAGCTGCCTCTTGCACACCCCCTACTGGGGATATGCCCGCAACCAAGGTACATGCCCTTGACTGGAATCGAACCCGGGACCTTTCAGTCCCCAAGCCGACACTCTATCCATTGAGCCAAACCGGTTTCGGCTGAAGATCACATTTTTAACACACTAACAAAATTGCCTGTGATCAAGCACATAAAGAAACATTTTCTGGCCCCAGCCCACATGGCTCAATGGTTGTGCTTCAACCTATGAAACAGGAGGTCATCATTTGATTCCAGGTCGGGGTATATGCCTAGGTTGTGGTCTTGATCCTCAGTAGGGGGTGTGCAGGAGGCAGCAGATCAATGATTCTTAATGTTTCTCTCTCATCATTGATGTTTCTATCTCTCTCTCCCTCTCCCTTCCTCTCTGAAATCAATGAAAATATGTATTTTTTTTTAAATCATTACCTTTTACCAATTCACCTGACATACAGACCAAGAGGTACACATACAAACACATACACACACACAAAAAAAACAGAAGCTCCCACATGCACCTACTCTCACATGCTAGGTTCATTCTCTCACACACATCAGCCCCCACATGACCTGCTTACACAAGCACTCATTCTCTTACGCACAGTCACACTCACACACACTTAAATTCAAGGCTAGAGTAGAAACTAGAAAGGACACTGAAGCAACAAAAAGGTGCAGCCAAAATAAACAAAAGGTGCAGCCAAATGTTCCTAGGGACTTCCAACTCCTACCAGCAGAGGAACAGGAATGAAAAGCAGGGAGACCTGAGTATCAACACTCCCTAGCAGCCTACTTATGCAAAGTACTGCCCTGAAGAGGACAGACAAAGCCTACAATGTTACTGAAGGGCTTTCATTCTGTGCTTCGATATATAGGGTTCTCTGAAAAGGATCAGTGTCTATCAAAACGTAAATGTTTAAGTTAGGGCATTCATACAATGTGAAGATAATCCCTATAAGTAATTCTTTTGAAAAATAAAGCCAATCCTTTCCACAATACTCTTAGAATTTATTCTATAATTTCTGCTTTACAATGAGTTACTGATGACTATAAAAGTATCAGAACTCTCAGTATGAATTGTATTGATGAGATGTGGTCAAGCTTGTTTAAAAAAAAAACTATTCCAGCCAAAACCGGTTTGGCTTAATGGATAGAGCGCCAGCCTGCGGACTGAAGGGTCCCAGGTTCGATTCCAGTCAAGGACATATGCCCATGTGTTGTGGGCTTGATCTTCAGTATGGGGCGTGCAGGAAGCAGCTGATCAATGATTCACTCTCATTCTTGATGTTTCTATCTCTCTTTCCCTCTCTCTTCCTTTCTGAAACCAATAAAAACATATTTTTTAAAAAACCTATTCCAAGTTCACAACTAGTGCCTGGGTGCATCTGAGTCCTGCTTCACCTAGAAAGCTCCACTGTAGACCTTTCTCCTTTTCTCTGCTGACTCCTGCCAACACTGTTATATTACACCACACCTGATCTATCACCAGATGATGTAATGAGATCCAAACACACCATGACATTGCTGAAGAGGCACACAAAGGCCATCTGTATTATAAATGGGAGCTGCTTATATTAAAACTTCAGCTATAGCACTTAAATAATTTAAAATGTTTTCTTCATAAACAGATTCCTTAAAAGATACTGAACATAATATCTTTGAAAATTTTGAAATAACCAAGATAATCTATTTGTTATCATAGAGGACAGTAATGTGACCATTCTAAGAGTTTCTTGCACTCAATATTTTGAAATCTCAAGGTGGAAAGTACAAAATTTATGGTTGTATTGCTGTTATCCAATTTATCTAAACAGTTTCTAGGGTTTTCAAAAAAAATCATGAATGTTTTCAAATGAATTCTTATCTTTTAGAAATATATACTGAAATATTTATGGGTGAAATATTATAATATGTCACATATGTGCATCAAAATAATAATCCAGGGATGACCAGCCAGTTTAGCACTGGTCTATGAACCAGGAGGTCACAGTTCAATTCCCGGCCAGGGCATATGCCCAGGTTGCAGGCTCGATCCTCAGTGGGGAGGGCATGTAGGAGGCAGCCGATCAATAATTCTCTCATCACTGATGTTTCTATCTCTCTCTCCCTCTCCCCCTTCTCTCTGAAATCAATAAAAACATATTTTTAAAAATTTTTAAATAATAATTCAGGGATGGGGAGTTTACAGATAAAGCACGACTGCTGAAACTGAGCAATGGCTAGGGAGCAGAGAGATGGGGGTAGGGAGGAGGTCACTAGACTACTTATGAGTATGTTCAAGACTTTTCATTTAAAAGTTTAAAAATATTCATCATGAGGTAGAATTCTTCACTTTTCTCTAAACTACTTCACTATCAGAAAATATTTCTTCTCTTTGCTCCTCTATAATGTATTCTGATAAGGGACTTGGGAAAAGCAAGTCTAAAATCATAGTAAAGGACAGCAAAACTTACATACACAGACAAGTCAGCCTTTCATTGCACTGTGAATTCATCTGCTCCTCCACCATCCCAGGGAGCTCACTCAAGTCCAGGTACTTAGATCAAGCCTAACACTGCTTCCTCCTGAGCAGTCTGGCGGAGCAGGCAGAAGGGGCAATGCCACAGGCCTCCTTACACTTGTCCACCCCACAAAACCCAAGCCCTGCCACCAAATTTAAAATTCCACCAGGACTTATCAGAGCAAAGAATTTTGACTCATTTCTCCTTTGTGATTACAAGAAAGCTCAGCCCCAAATAACAACCCAAAGTTTTTCCCAGAGGGATCAATAAGGACAGTCACCACACAACAAAAGGTGTTTCTCAAATGAAAAGGATTTTATTAAGTCAGTAAGATGAAACTTCATGGGAATATTTTGAGATACCAAATCTAAGAAGTTGAGAGCTATCTAAAAATTACAGGTCAAAAGACCTCGTTCTTGCTCTAGCACTGACAATTTCCTTTGTGGGGTGTTGAGAGTTACTTAAACTTTCTGGGCTTCTGTTTCTTACCTGCAAAGTGAAATGAAGCCTATTGCCACTTCAGAGAAAGGTGGTGATGATCTAGCGAAAACACAAATGAGCCTGATATAAGCTGTAAAGTACTTTATCAAAGTCAGGTTATGGTGAAAAGAAAAAAAGAAAGAACGAACGAATGTGGTATTTTTTTAAACATCTTTGGTTTAATGAGAAAAGGTGTGCTTGGAGAGAAGACACATCACACTAGCAAAACACAACCAAGGAGGATGCCCAAGGTGCTTTCTGACCCCGGGGCAAGAAGGAAAAGTATCAAAAGAGCTTGGACCAGCAATCACAATCCCTGCTAACTATACCGGAAGTTATACCATATATCTCTCTGCCCATTAGACTAGCACGTAGGAGACCCATCTGAGCAACATCTTCCAACTGAGAGCTAAACAAAAGCAGTACACTGATGCCCACAGAAGCATGCACATCTTCCTGGGCTCAAGGGACAAATGGGGGGCTGGGGAGATGGGGG